AGGGAGTCCACCAGTAACCAAGAAAGTGTTGAAGGAAATACAGATACAACCACCACCACCACAACAACAAACTCCACAACACTTCCTCCTGAAGTCACAAACAACAAGAAGGGTGATGCAGACAGCAGCAGCAGTATGAGCAGTTCTGTGTGGGTGCGTGTACCACCACTACTGATTGTGGTTACACTGTCCTGTATTCTTGTGTGCTGATTGTAATGGTGGTGTGGTGTGACTCAGGTCATCCTTTGTTTTCTTTTTCTTTTTTGCATGCATCCACACTACAGTCTAACTAATCTTCCACCTCTTGGGATTATCTTCTTCTTTTTTGTTTCTTAATGTTATTGTGTTTTGTGTGTGTGTTTTTGCTCTCTGTGTTTATCCTATAATTATTATTATTGCTACTCCATTGTGTGTGTGTGTTCTGGAGACTCTCTGTGTGTGTACCTGGGCTTGCACTGTAATGATGATGATGAACTGCTTTTTGCAGTGTGGAAATAAAGAAATAATAATGGTAACATATGAATTTATGTTAATAATTGCGTATATAAACATACATATAGATGTACACCAATAGTTGTTGAATTTCTTTTGTTTACTGGGTAAATTGGGCTAATGTTTAATATCTGTTTTCTTTGCTTATTGTGTGCTAGTTCTTTATGTGCTTTGTCCTGCATTGTTATGATTATCTACGTTGAATAGAGAAAAGAAAAAAAAATAGTAATTGTTACACATAATTTCATTATTGCATATAAGCACCAGCATACCCAGCTGTCTGTTTTATTGTATGTTTATTGGGCATTTCGTTGTGGTTTTAATTTCGTTTTCTTTATTTCTTGTTTTGTTCGGTTTTTTTTGTGTAGTGGTGTCTCTTTATTGGATTCTTTATTGTTTATACTGGTAGTGTTGTTTTATGTATACTTTTGTTTTCGTTGTGTCTTTTACTACCATCTGTTTTTTTTTGTTTCTGTTGTATGAGATAGTTTTTTATTTTTATTTCTCTCTGTTCTCTTTTCTTTAACAAAGAGACGTAAAACAACCAAGAATCACTTTTGCCATGATGATGAGACCCGTTGTGTGTTTTCTGGTTTTTCTGCTGAGTGTTGCCTCTTTCTGCATGGAAGTTAACGCGTTTACGAATGAACCTTTTGTGGCAGCTGGTGATGGCAACGGTGGTGATGTGTTTACAACTCTCTATAAGGAAGAACTTCATCCATATACCTCAGCCTGTGCTGGAAGTTCAAACTTGTGTGGCAAACCTGTTACGACTGAGAAACAAATTCTGGCTGAAGATCCTAACTCAGTTCCGACGGATCAAGAAAGGCTTCGTGCAGGAGAAAGACTCTCTACCACTGAAGAAAGTTCTTCACACGAAATACGAGATAGTGGGAAGGATATGGCTCAAGAAAGAATAACACGTGGCGATTCTCCATCAGCCGAAGATGGTAGAGGTGATGACAGTGTGGGTGATATTCCTGCCCCTCAACCGGGTAACAGTAAACCTGGTACTGGAGGTGAACCCAATGTTGAAGAACAAAGCCAACCTCCAGAGTCTACTCCACCTACACACGTTAACCCAGGATCATCAAATAACACAGGGGATAACAGTACAACGGGCGATTCTAATTCTACCGAGCAAGCATCTTCTGCAGAGGCAAGTACAACTAACGCAACAGCTTCACAAGAGAATGGCAATGTTGATTCAACAGCCACCAACACTAATACTACCACTGAAGCACCGACAACAACAACACTTTCTCCTGTACCCAACGCAGAGATCAGAAATATTACTTCCACAGTTCAGAAGAATAAGGCTAATGTTGACAGCAGTGTCAATCCTGTGTGGATGCGTACTGCAGCACCGGTACTGACTGTGGTTGTGATGTTCTCCGTTGTGGTGTACTGAACGGTGGTAATCATCTGAGGACAAATAATAATAATGATTAAACTAACATAATCATAATTGCGTACATCCCCCATGGGTGAATGAAAATAATAATCTGTTTACCAGCTTTCTCTTTTAATTATGAATTTCTTTTCTTTTACTTTTATGTGTGTGTGTTCTTTTTTCTCATAATTCCATTACTTGCTTTTCCCGTTGTGTGTGTGCAGAAAACTGGGCTGTTCTGCTCACTGACGGTGTACATCTCTTGCTAGTACACACAGTTGTTTGTGTGTGCAATAATTTAATGCATAAACTAGAGCCATGGGGTATTGTGTGTGTGTGTGGCTCTCTCTCTTATTTGGGTATTGTGGGGTCCTTTTCTTTTCATTTTTCTATTAAGGGATACATATTATCACTATAAGCGGGATATTCCTTGTTGTTGGTTTACTGTGCAGTTCCTGCTTCTCTCTCTCTCTTTTCCAATGTGAGTATTTGTGTCCTGCATCCACTCACTATGTGTGTCTCTTTCTTTTCTTTCTTGTTTCTCTTTTCCACACTCCCTGTGTAGACCCGTGAACTCAAGTGACGCGAACAACAAGAAGAGTGACGCTAAAGATAACGAGGATGATAGACCTGTATTAACTAATCCCACTGCTGCTGGTGATGGTTGTCTGTGTCTGAAGTTATTGCAAGATATGCAATTGTGCCCTATCCTGTTCTTCTTCTTCTTCTTCTTGTATTCCGATGTCTACTGTTGTGGAGCCACATAACTTGCGTGCAGTGGAGGATGACACTCCTCTCTCTGTTGGTGGTTTCATGACAACTTCTGCAGAGACCATCTTGAACAGTGCCCATAATGTGCGACCAGGTGGTATTATGTGTGTTGGGTGTCCTCCACCAACAATGACTCGTCATTTGACTGTTTATTCTGTTTCTCCTGTTGATATTGTTGCTGCTGCTGTTGCTTCTTCTTCCGGTACTTCTAGTACTGCTGGCATGCAGTTTGTGAGGGAGACGGATCTCACTGAGGAGGAGAAACTGTACGGTAAGTGTGTCTCTCTTGTGATATGCTGCGGGAGTTGTTTGAAGTGGGCCGTGTGGATAGTGCCACAAACTCGCTGGAGACCATCTTTCTTGATGGCACACGGCAGAAGTTGAAGGTGTTCGCTGTGCGGCCGGCCGGTGTTTGTGGAGAAGAGGAACTATTTCACCAATGGAAGAAGGATGCGAGTACACGTCCGGTGCGAACTGTGTACGCGGGAAAGGAGGGAGGTGCCTCAACGCCAACACCACCTGTTGCATCCTCATCTGTACATGATGGTAGTAACAGTGACCGTAACCATATGAATGGTGATAAGCAGGATGTTAATCATAATAACAATGATTATATTAAAAAGAAAGCAATGATGATTTTTCTTTTGTGTTTTTCTCTTGTTTAAAGATTGATGATGTGTTGACTCTACTAGTCTTGTTTGTTTGTGCTTTTCCTCATAATTGCAGTAACTGAATCACTTATAATCCATATTGTTGACTGTTTCAAAATTTTGTGTCTACAATCTTCCACATGTAGATATTTATATTATTATAAAATATAACCATGAGCACGGAATCTGAATTACAGGCTAAATATAGTGATGCCGTTAAGCGCTGGGAGGCTGCCAAGGAGGCCACTGTAGCTTCCA